GCAGTACTAAACTTGGTCGACCCACCCGGACCGCCGGGCCCGGGCCCAGTACTAAAGTTGGTCGACCCGCCCAGACCCAGGCCGGGCCAGCGGCCCAGGACCCGCGACCCAACCCAGGCCAGCCGGTGCAGTGCAGGCCCCAATGCTACACTCCACCCGGAACTGGCCCGGCCGAGCCCCCAAACATCTGAAATTGCCCCGCCCTTCACTTCCACCCCCTTTGAGAAACTGCCGCCCAAAGCACCAACCAACTACCACAGCAACAAAGCAAGACTGCAGCAGCCTCAAAACAAACGCAGTTTGGCAAGCAGCTTTTGGTTGAACCAAGCACCGTTTCAGAAGGTGCCTAGCGTCGCCTGTCCAAAACAACACCGCAGCAGCCGCAGCACAAAGACACGTTGGGTGGCAGCACCCCGCCATGCCCTCAAAAAGAAGCAGAAGTAGAAGCCACATGCACAAAAATAATCTGCAAGCTAGAGAGGAACACGACGCGAATAACCCATTAACAAAAGAGGATGACAAACCCGAATTCAATCTTCTCCCGTACTGACTCTATTCTACTATAAGCGGGGTTAGTACGGAATACGTCTTATACTGTCCGTATTCTATTCTATTTTCGCAGCGGCACAGCCCAGCCGCATAATTCATAATTATGCTTGAATGAAGGACGGTGCTTATGTTCGCGGGCTTTGTTAGAACTCTGATGTTTTAAGATACCACGAGTTTAATTGAAGTCAGTCGAGAAATAAGTGATATGATATGATATTCCCGAATTGGGCCTCAGGGTTTGGGATTCCTGTTCTAGTCCCTAGGGTCTCGGAAGAAGGTTTAAGCCAGAGTGATTTTACCTTAGTGCCCAAAAAGGCTTCCGAGCTTGTGCTTTTTGTTGTGCTCCTCGTTCTGCCCACTGTTAGTGTGCAAAGGCTACTCCCAACCTAAAGCCCTAAAGCCCTAAAGCCCTAAAGCCCTAAAGCCCTAAAGTCCTAAAACCTGTCCTGGCCAGGTGTCTTTGGACCAAGGAAAGCCAGTGCTGATCGAGAACATGGGCGAAGGCTCGCTGGGTAGGGTTTAGGGTTTAGGGTTCAGGGGTTTAGGGTTTAGGGTTCAGGGTTTAGGGTTTTGGGTTTTTAGGAGCCCAGTTGCCCATTAAATTACTCGGGCTGGCTGGGCTGTAAACTACAGACCCAGTTACCCATGGCGTTCCTGACGCCACATAGTAATACTGAGAATAGGGTTTTGGGATATATTATACTATAACTATGAGAAGGAAGCCCCAAAATACCATTGGAAATAACCCTATACAGCCCATACCCGGTTCCATGGGGGTTCGAGCTGAAGTTGTGTACGAACTTCGGTTCTGGGGTCCGGCCTTTCTCGTGTTCTTTGCCCCTGAAATCAACAGATCCATCAACCCCAGCATGCTGAGTTTCAACAACCCTAAACCCTAAACCCTAAACCCTAAACCCTAAACCCTAAACCCTAAAGTAGCCCCGAAGTCCGGTTTCCCAATCCCGGATTCCCGGCTTTCCGGTGCATTGTGCTGAGTTTGTGGACTTCACGGCTCTGGGTTTATGGGTTTAGGGTTTAGGGTTTAGGGTTTAGGGTTTAGGATGCTAATCTGCCACCGAATGCAGGAATCGACGCTGTGATCATGCCCGTTGTGTCCCGCAACACCATCAAGCGTGGCAGCTTGCTGAGCACTGTCATTGTTTCCCAGTCTCTTCCTTCAACGACGGGCTTTAAAATTAGGGCTTTAGCTTCGTTTTCTTTGCAATGTGGGGCCCAATATATGTGTGTGTGTATATATATATATATATTACTAGTCTGTTGATACAGTTTCTCTTTCAGAGCAGACTTCGCCAGTCGCCCACCCACCACAGAAAGCAGATAATGATCCTGTAGGGTTTAGGGTTTTGAGGGTTTGCACCAGGAGTCTTCCTACAGTCTTGCCATCATGAGAGTCTTGTTGCTCCTCCCATTTATGTAGCCTCTTCTCTGTAGACTTGCTTGAGATCATGCTCTGTTGTGATTTTGTCTTTGATGGCCGATACCTCGACTTCTGCAAGGCACCCCAGATGGTTTAGGCCCTAGACCCTACACCCTAAACCCGAAACCCTACACCCTAAACCCCAACCCCTAAACCCTACACCCGAAACCTTAAAACCTTAAACCCCAAACGCTAAAGCACGGAGCACCGAAAGTCCCAAGCCCAAACCAGGATCTGTGCTTCGGTGTTTTGCAGGGTTTCCTAGAGTTCTCTGGTAAGTCCGGCTACGGGTGCCCTGCAATCTACAATCGGTGTTATATATTTCAGAGATCATCGGGCTCAGCAATTAAGGTTGTAACACGGCCAAAATTACAATATGCTCTGAGCCCCATGATTTCTGAAGTAGCTTGAAAAGCGGATCCAAAGATCCCGAACCAATCCACTTGAGATTAGGGAAGTTTAGGAAATTGGCTTCAGTAAACCCTAAACCCTCAATTTACGGATTTCAGGAGTAACAGCGTTAGCCCAAATCTTATCCATACACAACGGCTCTACACCCCAAGCCCCAAACGGATCCCAAACCTATCTATAAATCCTGCCACAACAGCCGTTATCCCCAAGACCGCCGCGGGAGCCCTTGGAAAGAAAACCTATGAAGCCCTCCCAACCCTCTTCTACAAGCCTTATCCGCCCGTGTATAGCCTTAAATCCCGAACCACGCAGGCTGAGACCCGAAGTCGTCAGACCCTAAACCCAGAAAAAAAAAGCCCTAAACTTGAGGAAACAAGAGGCTGGTGAAGCTCGGGGACAAGGAGATCACTTTGAGCGCCCATGGGTCCGCCAAGAGATTTCCGCCCGGTTTTTGCAGATTCTCAGGGGCTGAGTAGGTAACCTTTAACCTTTTGGGGCTTATATGATCCTACTATAATTCAAAAGGTTAACCTTTTTTGGGCTAGGGTACTCAGCCCCTAAGGATTTTTTTGGAGGCTCTAAACAGTGGAACATGCAGAGGGCTCATAGGTAGCTGCAAGTCGGGTTCAGAAGTGCGCCATTTGATTGATTACTACTTCCAGCCTTCCATCTACAGTAGTCTTGCGCATTACCTGACGATATGCCTTTGCGTTTATGAAGGATCCACCGGTTAGGGATGTTAGGGGTTTAACAGATTGTGTTTGGGTTTCGGCTGTCGAAGTTCAGAGCTTAGGATTTATTGCGGGAAGTTGAACGGCTAAGTTCACGGTCTCGTCAGAGTTGGGGTCCCAGTTTTCGTCGTGCCGAACATCAAAGACTGCAAGATTCCCTGCAGTGTCGTGGGCGTAGGGTGTAAGGTTCAGGGTAACGGTGAGAATCAGTCGACACAAGCGTCATGCACATAAATGTAGTATGAGGGTCAGATTGACGACCCACCAGTGTCACCAGGAGTCCTTCCGATGAGCCACAACCTCGGGGTCTGAGTTGCAGAGTTCAGAGCTAGTAATTAACGGTTAAGATAGGGGCCTAAATGGTTACCTATACTATTTTGGGGGGGTCCTTACTATAACTATAGTATAATATACCCCAAAACCCTATTATAATTTCTAAGGCCCCTATAGTAGTTTACCGAGTCTAGAGCCAAAGTCGTTACCATACTTCGACCCTGAAACTAGGGCCCTGAATTCCAAGCTGCACTGTGACCAAGAACAACTTCAAGCTCTTCATGCAGACGAAGTTGTCGAATCCGCACTACCCGCCTGAGATCCAGGCCCGACAGCAGGTTTAGAGCCTTCAGGCAAGCCCTTAACTCTGAGGCACCACTAACGAGATTGTCTTTGCCGAAGTTCTGCTTTGATTGAGAGGGTTACGGTTTAAGGGCTTCCTCCTGAAGCGAAATCCCCTAGAACATGGAGTCAGTCCAGCTGGGTGTTTGCGGTGGAACGGCTTGAACATATTCTTAAAGTCTGAAAGTTGAGGGACCCCTCAAACCCAACCGAAGAGGTCGGTAAGCTAGGAGCCCCACAACAAACAAATCCTAAAGCCGCCATGTACCTATGCAGGACACATGCTGCTCTTATAGCAACTTAAAAGGCACCCCATCCAGGCCGAAGTTTATACTCCCCAGGAACATGGACCCTTATGGGCGAAGGAATCCTTGACCCGAAAGGGAGGAACCCTGACCTCTACAGCTCTAGAGCTCGGTCTGGGATTTCGGGATTAGAGTGCACGGTTTCCGGTTTTAGGGTTTAGGATCAGGCTCGACCTTGAGCCGGTATATCCTTTGCAGAGATGGATCCTGGATCTTCCTGCAGGATGCATGTTAGGGTTCCGGGCGGGTGCGGGAAGAGTGAGATTTCTGGAGCTAACTCTCAACCTCAAACTTAGACACTTCTGAAAACTTTGACAGCCATGTAAAGCTGCAAAGCCCTATGAATACCCATAACAGCTCTCCATGCTGAGTTTCAGAAGCTATCCAATACGACCGGAAGTTCCAGAGCCCTGAGTGCTGCAGCTTTTGCTCAGCTTCAGAAACCGTAGACACCCGGGTGTTGGGGTCTCGGATTTAGGGGTTTGGGGTTTAGGGTTTCGGATGGTGGGGTGGAGGGTATAGGGTTCAGGATTTTGAGTTTTGCAGGCTTGGGCTTGCTGACGGGGTCCGGGGCCTATGGTGCAGGCCGAGTGTACCATCATCAACTTCACCGTCACAGAGGATGGCACCTTGGCACAAATTCCCATCTGTCGAACATGGAGCCACGGGCAACGGTATGCTGCTACCAACTGTGCTGCGCTTTGTCGTATGGATAGGAGTACTGTGCGAAACCATCAATACTGCTGCTACTACTCTGCAACTCCTACTCTTACTCGCAGCCCGAGCCCTGCCCTGCCCCTGCCCCTGCCCCTGCCCCTGCCCCTGCCCCTGCCCCTGCCCCTGCCCCTACCCATACGCCTACCTGTGCCTCTACTCCTGCTCCTACTCCTTTTTCCACGAGTTCTCCTACTCCTCCTCCTCCGCCTACTGCTTCTTCTAGAACCCATAGACAACCCTTATAAAGCCCTCAAGGCCTTATACGGCTTTACAAAGCCATCCTTGGGATGCCCAAACTTTATGCACCCCTACAAACCCCACAAGCCCTAATTGTAGAGCGAAAATCCTTAAATAGGCCATAAACCAAACAATACTAATTAGCATAACACGAAATTTCCTCATAGTCTTTTTCTCTACCTGCCTACATACCTACAACGCCTACCTACCTAGCTACCTACCTGCCTGCATGCATGCATGCATGCATGCATGCATGCAGGCATGCATGCATGCATACATGCAGACATGCATATATATATATATACACCCATGCGCATATTTGTAGTATGTCTTATGCTCCAAACTCCAAACCCCATTCCCAGTAAATACACAACAATGATAAACTTTTTGGGTTCTTATAACTTAGTCGCAATCTGAAAGGTTAACCTTTTGTATCCCCTGGCTTATCGGGGAAGTAAGTTGGAGCCCAGATGGAGCCTTCTAAAGGAAACCTTAAGCGGAACCTTCAACTGACTTGTTTTAAACCCAAAACCCCAAACAAGAGCCGTTGAAACCCCACGCCCTGCAAGCCCTAAGCCCGTTCAAAGTACTTAAACCCTAAACCCTAAACCCTCAACCTTAAACCCTAATTCCTAAACCCTAAACCCCTAAACCCTAAACCCTAAACCGTCTGAAGCCTGCATCCTGGCTTATTCAGGTCTCGAGGATCAGCTGCTGTTCCTGGTGGTGAAGCTTGAGAGGCCCTGGGTTCCGGTTGCGAACAGGATTTGGGGTTTAGGGGTTTAGGGTTTAGGGTTTAGGGTTTAGGGGTTTAGGGTTTTAGGGTTTAGGGGTTTCAGGTTTAGGGTTCTACAAAGGTTCCTTCCAGCCGAGAAGAGTTCAGAAGGGGTTGAGGGTTGAGGGGTCCTTCTAGGGTTCAACAGGGTTCCTATGTGGGAGTTTCCGAAAATAGGGGACCCTAATATAGTACCCTAAATAATAGGATCCTTATTATAAGGACCCCCCAAAATAAGGTCCCCAAAATTTCGGAAACCCCCATGTAGGGTCCTTGAAAAGGCCACCACCCCTTGGCCGCTGAGGGCTTGCCACTTACAAGGTTCTCAGGTTTGGGGGTTAGGGTTTAGACTTTAGATTTTAGGGTCCAGGGTTTAGGGTTTAGGGTTTAGGGTCCAGGGTTTAGGGCGCAGGGCTTTAGTATGGGAGAGGGATGGAGGGCCCTACCGCTTACTACAACCGGAAGTGCTCGTGCAGTCAGGAACAATCTGAAGGCGACACCCCCAAGCTGTCAAAGCCACATCGAAACCGTCGACTTAAGGTGAGGCTTGAACCCTAAACCCTAAACCCCAAAGCCTAAAAACCCTAAACCCTAAACCCTAAACCCTGAACCCTGAACCCTAAACCCTAAACCCTAAACCCTAAACCCCAAAGCCTAAACCCTAAACGAGCCATATGCACAAAAGCACCACGCTGCAACGACCTG